CAAGGCCGCCCTGCCTCCCAGAGGCTTACCCAGGTCTGCAGGAGGGATCTGCTATATGCAGCCCCCACTTCACCTCCCAAGCCCCTTTGGGAGGGAGGTGCTGGCACCAGCCTTGGGCAAGAGGCCATGATGATGACACCCTTGCGTTTTTCTGTGCTTCTTGGCATTTCAAAGTGTCTTCAGATGTCTTATCTCCACAAGAGCCCTGCCAGGAGAATTATTATTCCCTCCCTTCATAGATTAATACACTGAAGCTTGGGAGGTGGCATAGTGCCAGCCCCTTTGCTCTTGCCACAGCCTCCACCCTGCCTTTCACCCTGCGCTCCTGGCCTAGGCCGATGCCTGGTAACAGAATGGTACCATGTGGCACCCAGGGGCTAAGGACAGGGGACAAGGCCACAGTAGACTTGGTATAGGCTTCTGCGAAGGAAGTTGTCAAATGTGCCAAGCCTAGTGGAAAAAGGCAGAGAGGAGCGGAGAGCAGGAAGGTGCTGGAGCAGGAAGTGACTGGGAGCCCGGAGCAAGTAACAGGCAGGGACCGGTTTCCTCCCCTCTGGAGCTGGAGGGGGCCTAGATGGGAGGTGGGCTTGGGGTCTGTAATGTCTACAGCTCAGACCTAGGTCAGAGCTCCTCTCCCCAAGATCCAGAGACTCAGCCTTCAGTGGGTGACTGACTGGCTAGCAGTTCGCCAGCCCTAGCCTGGAAGCAACAACAACAACAATAATAAGCACACAGTGTGGCCATCACTAGCCCTGCCACCTTTTCTCTCCAGGAAGACTGGGGGCCGTGTGTGGAGGTATGTAGCACCGCTCAAGCGCCTGCTGGATTTATTTTTTGCCAGTACTGGGGCTTGCACTCAGGGCGTGCATGCTGTCCCTCATTTTTTTTTTTTTTTAAATCAAGGCTGGTGCTCTACTACTTGAACTATACACAAAAAGTGGAGCTCTATGTGGGGTGCTGGTGGCTCGCTCACGCCTGTAATCCTAGCTACTCAGGAGGCTGAGAGCTGAGGATCGCAGTTCAAAGTCAGCCTGGGGGGGGGGCTGGGAAGGTGGCTCAGTGGTAGAGCGCTTGCCTTGCATGCATGAGGCCCTGGGTTCGATTCCTCAGCACCACATAAGCAAAAAGAAAAAAAAAAAGCTGGAAGTAGCACTATGGCTCAAGTGGTAGAGCGCTAGCCTTGAGCTGAAGAGCTGAGGGACAGCGTCCACACCCAGAGTTCAGGCCCTATGACTGGACCCCCCAAAGTCAGCCTGGGCAGGAAGAGTCCAGGTGACTCTAATCTCCAATGAACCACCAGAAAACCAGAAGTGGTGCTGTGGCTCAAATGGTAGAGCACTTGCCTTGAGCTGAATTGCTGAGGGACAGCGCCCAGGCCCAGAGTTCAAGCCCCACAACTGACGCCCCCCCCAAAAAAAATGTTCAGAGCTCCAACTGGGTGGACATATTGTGTTTTTATCATCCAAGTTTTCTTCCAAAAACCTCCCTGTGCTGCTGCGGCTCTCCACGGGCTCCTTCAGCCACTCAGCTCAGCAGCAGCCCATGTGCTTTTGAAATCATCTGTCCCTCTGGGGAGCAGAGGAAACCAGCCAGCCCCTCAACCTCCACCCAGGTCACTCCAGCCCCGGCGCCACCCGGTCTCTGAGCTGCTTCAGGGAAGGGAGGGCACCCTCTCTTTGTTCTGGGTGCTGGGTGGAGCAATTGTGCTCTCTGTACCCCACCTCTTACCCCCCTTTTCTGACTAGTCACCCCTGAATGCTCAGCAAAGGAAGCCATTGAAGGTGGATGTCCTGGAGGCTCTGCTAGAAGTTTCTGGGGCTTAAGGAAACAGGATCAGGAGGAAGAAGTCCTGGGTAGACCCCAGAGCATGGCAAAGGTGGTAGGGGGGGCGGTGTTTGCCAGTACTGAGGCTTGAATTCAGAACCTGGGCAGGAAGGCTCAAGCTTTTCACTCAAGGTGCTCTATCAGTTCAGCCACACCTCCACTCCACTTACAGCATTTTGATGGTTAATTGGAGATAAGAGTCTCAGAGACTGGCTGGGAAGGTGGCTCAGTAGTAGAGTGCTTGCCTTGCATGCCTGAGGCCCTGGGTTCGATTCCTCAGCACCACATAAGAAAAAAGCCAGAAGTGGCACTGTGTCTCAAGTGGTAGAGCGCTAGCCTTGAGCTGAAGAACTGAGGGACAGCGTTCAGGCCCCACGACCGGACCCAGGCTGGCTTTGAATTGTGATCCTCAAATCTCAGCCTCCTGAATAACTAGGATTACAGACATGAGCCACTAGGTGAGATTCCTCCTCCTCCCCTTCCTCTTCCTTCTCCTTCTTGTTTTGGGGGACTAAACCCAGGGCCTGGTGCATTAGGCAAGTTCTGTGCCACTGAGCTACATGCCCAGGCCCTAAGCTGGAGTCTTTGAAGGTGGCAAGCAAGAGGTGTGGCCAGCTCTCCTCTGACCAGCCAACTGGCCTTGGCAAGTCCTCTGACCCTGGGGTGGATGTATTGGCTTCATGCTGTTCCAGGAACCGCCCCACACCAAACTACTACTGTGTGGGGCCCAGAAACAGAGCTGACTCCTTTACCTCCCGGACCTAAGCTGTGAGGTGCCCCAAAGGTTTCTTATGCTAGGGCTCTGGGACAGGTGAAAAGAGTTCTCACCAGAGACTTGGTGCAGGGAAGGCTTGGGGTGGGGCTTAGCTGGCCAGGTGGGCAGCCGCCATTATCTACCTCTGCTAGCCTTATCAAAGTCAAAGAGGACCTCAACCCAAACCAGCTGCCTGAGCACCTCCTCAAAGGGCACTTCCTGGGCAGCATCTGAGGGATGGGTGCTCAGTGGACAGTGTATCTCCGGGTCCCACAGGTCGAGCCCCCTACTGAAGGCAGACTGGCCTTGCTGCTTCCCCCACATTCTGTGGAGGCTCCTTGGGCCTGCTGTCTGGTGCTCTGACAGCTCAAGCTCTCGGGGCAGCTGTGGTGACATTGTAAGCTCAGGTGCAGCCCCTCCCCCCATGGAGAGCATTGGAACTCATTTTTTGCCAGTCCTGGGGTGTGAACTCCGGGCCTGGACACTGTCCCTGAGCTGCTTTTGCTCAAAACTAGTGTTCTATCACAAGCCACAGCACCACTTCCAGCTTTTTTTTTTTTTTCCTTCTTTCCTGGGGTTTGAATTCAGGGCTTGAGCTCTGTTACTGAGCCTCTCTGTGCTCAGGGCTAGCCATAGCACCACTTCCAACCTTTTCTGTGTATGTGGTACTGAAGAATCAAACCCAGGGCTTCATGCATGCTAGATAAGCACTCTACCACTAAGCCACATTCCCAGCCCAACTTCTGGCTTTTCTTGAGTAGTCTCTCTCTCTCTCTCACACACACACACAAATACATGCACACACATGCACACATAAATGCACAAATGGCAGCAACGTCTCCATGGGTCTTAAGCCAGCCTTCACTGATTAAACAAGATTTCTCCCATTTTCGTGTTCACAGTCTACTGTACAGGTCTTTTTTTTGGGGGGGGGGTTGGTCCTGGGGCTTGAACTCAGGGCCTGAGTGCTGCACCTGAGTTCTTCAGCTCAAGGTGAGTGCTCTACCGTTTTGAGCCACAGTGCCACTTCTGGTTTTCAGATGGCTAATTGGAGATGAGTCTCATGGACTTTCCTGCCCTGGCTGGCTTTGAACCACAATCCTCAGGTCTCAGCCTTCTGAGTAGCTAGGATTTCGGGCGCGAGTTTCCTGCAACCAGCCTGGAACTTTTTCACACAGGCTTTCACAGCCCAGGTTGACCTGGAACCTGCTATGTAGCCTGGCTGGCTTCAAACTCCTGATCCTCTTGTCTCAGCCTCCAGAATGCTGGAGTCGCAGGTATGTACCAGCATGACTGGTTTACAGCATCAGATCTTGACTGTGGGCTTCTCAGGCCTGAGGTGTGCTGGGGGAGCTGGATGCTTTGCTTTACTTTGAAAGGGTTTTGGTGGAAAATGCAGTGGACATCAGTTGGCAACTGGAGAGACCCAGTCTGTCTATGCCAGTCCTGGAACTTGAATTTAGGGCCTGGAGCTGAGCCCTTGCTTTCTTTTGCACAAGGTGGGTATTCTATCACTTGAGCCACAGCTCCAATTCTGGCTTTTTGTGTGGTTAATTGGAGATAAGAGTCTCCTAGACTTTCCTGCTTTGAATCGTGATCCTCAAATCTCAGCTTCCTGAGTATCTAGGATTACAGGCATGAGCCACCGGCGCTCCGCTAAGATTTATGTTTTAATCCCATTTGTTACCTAGCTATTGGGGCTGCCCTGTGTCAGGCTCTTCGATGAGGGGGTGGGTCCCTGGGGGCTCAGGTGATCTGGCACAAAATGAATCCACACAGGGTGTGAACACAGAAGCTGCTCCTCCAACCCTAAACACCTGTTTATGTGTCCTGCCTCAAGTTTGCCTGGAGCAATCTCTCCCTGGTTTCATGTCTACCCTTCCAGGCCTGTCAGTCCCAATTTGTCACCCTTCCTTCTCTGTAAACAGGGCCCCTATCTGTCATCAGCTGGCCCTACACAGCCACACCCGCCCTGGGTTTTGTCACACCAGTGTCTGCCTTGTCTGTCTTCAAAGCCCCCTCGGGGTGAGCGTGGAGCCAGGCTGGCTCTCGAGCCCAGAAACCCCATGTTTATGAGATTCCTCCAGGGGCCCCCTCATTTGTGTTGAGGTGCAGGAAGAGGGGTGCCTGCCCTGTCAGCAGTTTCCCCAGGCTTCTCTAGTGGCCTTACCCCTCCCCCCCACCCCATCATCTCTTCCTCAGCTCCCACCTGGTCCCCCCGCGGCTCCCTGGGAGACTCCCTTGCCCCTCATCTGCACAATCCTGTGAAGCAGCAGCTCCCCTACAGCCGGTGCCTGGGCAGCAAGCTTGCCAATCTGTCCTTCCTGGCATCGTGGTCTCCAGCAACCCCAGAGGTCCTGGGTGGGCGTGGGAGTGGGGCAAGGCGTTGGCCCCAGAAGACAACTGAGCACCAGGAGCCGGCTTCAGCACAATTAAACCTCTTTAATACAAGCACTTCCTCAATTTTAGTCACCTGCCCCGCACAGGGGAGGGAACGCCACGCCTGCATCTTCCACAGTGAATCCACGGCCCGTCTTCTCCATCTTCCTCCAGCTCCACTCAGGATGGAGGGCCAGGCGGGGAGGTAGCAGGCCAGGCCTAGGCACTCAGCCCCAACGAGGCGTACAGCAGCACTGGGGGTGGGCCGGGTGGCTCCTGTGGCCTGGGCCACTGCACCTGTCTGTATGATGCCCACCCCAGCGGCCGACTGCTGGCGGCCAGTGTGTCCAGGTCGCCGGGTCCTGAGGCGTGGTGAGGAGGTGGCGGGACCGGCAGCTTGCTGGCTCTGGCTTCTTATTGCTGGTCTGGGGGCTGAGGGCAGGCCCTGAGGACGCCCAGGTCCTGCACAGGCAGCCTGTGCGGCAGGGGGAGGGGGAAGGAAGGAAATGGGGGGATCAAGAGGGAAGGGGATGTTTTCCCTGTCCCTGCTGCCCGGACCCCCAGGTCCAGGCCAGAGCTGTGGGCTGCTGCTTGCCAGCACCAAACCTCCCAAGTCACTGGGAACCCCCACCCCAGCAGGGAGGGGCCCAGGGGGCCATAGGGAAGGGGGTGAAGTGAGGGGCCCAGTTCAGACCCTTCAGGCGGGAATTGGGCCCCTCCTTGGCCAGCCAGTAAACCCAGGCCAAGGGGGGTGAGTTTCCTGTGAGTCCATGTATCTAACAGCGCCGGCGGCCCCCACCCCCTAGATGGAAAGGGAGACAAAAATCACAGCTTTTGAACAAGTGGTCTAGAAGTTACTGGAAAATTCGGTCAAGTATGAAAAGTGTCACTTAACAGAACAAGACCTAGCTTATGTGAGATATATATATATATATATATTAATATGCATATATTTTTTTCTGGAAGATATTCTGTATCCCCAAAAAGGACAACAGTGGCTGGATCTTGTGCCTGTGGCTGCTGCGCTGGGCAGGGTGTTGGAGTTGGGGGGTGTGGGAGGAAAAGGGTGGGGTGCATGTGTACCGGGAGCTAGGACAAGTGGAGGCACAAAACTGGTGTCACCCCAGTACAAGGGGCTGAGAAGGTGGGACAAAGCCGCCGTGCTGGCTGCGGGAGGTGGCCTCAGCTGGGGAACAAGGAGCCCAGCCCGTCTACACAGCCCGTGCGGCAGCTGCCAGGGCGTGAGCCAGCATGGCTGGCTCTGGGGTCCCTGTCACCCTATATGCCCGGCCAGGCCAGAGGAAAGGCTGGGACAGGAGAGGCTGTCGGACAGAGGACGAGGCAAGAATGAAGACTGCCTCTAATGTTATATATTAAAAATAATCCATCGTTTTTTTTGTGCACAAAATTCCATCATTCGCGTGGGGGCAGCACCCTGCCTCCCGCTGGGCCCCGGAGCAGCCTTTCAAACAAAGATGGTGGTTCTCCTACTAGAGAGCTGAGGAAACACCGCTCTTGTCTTTATGGACCTTGAAAAAAATGGTGACCCTTTCCCTCCCCCCCCCATCTCGGCCTCCCCGGCCCTGGCCCGCCCGGGCAGGCGTGGAGGTGGCGGGCAGCCCTGGTGGTTGGGGCACGGCTGTCACTCATGCCTCCGCTTGGAGGGTGGGATGAGGTGGGGGGGCAGGTCGGCGGGCAGCTCGTGGCCCTCCAGCTTGACCTTGATGAGGTGGTTGGCCAGGGCAAACTCCTCGTCATCCAGCAGACCGTCTTTGTCCACGTCGGCCAGCTTCCAGATCTTCCCCAGCACCGTGTTAGGCAGCTTGGACTTCACCATCTCCTTCTTGGCGTTGGCGCCGGTGATCTTGCCGTTGACGGGCGACAGGGTGTAGAAGATCTCGTCGTAGGTGGGCTTGTCCTTGCCCACCACCCACTCCACATCGTCGATCCCTTCGCCCGCCCCCTCGCCATAGCCGTGGCCGAATGGCCCGTTCATGGTGCCGTCGAAGGCGCCGCCCTTCACGGCCTGCGAGGGCATCAGGGACTCCTCCTGGCGCACCATCACCATCAGCCGGGCAATGTCGTTGGCCAGCATGTCGTCCACGGTGTCCAGCAGCTTGGGCTTCAGGGCCTGGAACTTGCTGAAGTCCTGGGCCTGCAGGAGTTCCTGTGGGTGGGGCACAGGAGGAGAGGCCTGGGAGGGGGCGGCCTCCAGACTCCAGGCACGTCCCAGTCCCAGCTTGCACGCCCAAGGGAGCCACAGGGGGCCCCCCCTCGGAAGCACCTTCCCAGGAGGGCTGTGGTGAAGATTCCCCAAGGGGAAGCTTGGAGGGCCTGGCCCAGCCCTGCCTGCCTGTCACTGCATTCCCCTGCTCGCCTCAAGCCTGATCTGGGAGGGATGCAATGATTACCCAGCTGCTACCCTATGGCGGGGGGGGGGGGGGGGGGGTCTCCCTCCCTCCCCTTCCCCAGAGCTGGGATTCCCTTTGCACTCCTCCAGCCCAGAGAGCACTCATGATGGCCCAGGGTGGCCATACCTGCATCTTGCGGAGGCTCGGGAAGTCCCCGGGGGAGATCTGGTGCTCCCGCTCGATCTTCTGGTAGATTTCGCCCAGGTTGTTCACCAGTTCTTTCTTTTTGCTCTCCTTACCGAAGACGTTGGGCATCTCCTTCTTCAGAGAGCTGATGATGTAGGCATGAACCTGGGGAGACAAGGCACAGGAGGGTTTTCACGTTTGTGGGGCTACATTTGCCCCGGCTGCCCCAGGGCCTTGGAAGCTGCTGCACGTGCCAGCTGCTCTTGCGGGTCAGGCTCAGAAGCTGCTGCCGCCATCACAGAATCCCGCTAGCCCGAGGGACAATTCTGACCAGGGGCATGACTGCTCACTGGCAGAGGGATGGAGGAAAGGAAGGTGCGCTTGAAATAAGACAGACATCCTTGCTCTAGTCAAAGGCTGGTGAGCCCCGGCTCAGCTTGTCGCTGGCTGAGCATCAGGAGCACTATGTGTCACTCTGTGTCTGCCCGATGCAGTCCTCAGCTGTGCTGCAACTGGAAACAAAACCTGGCCAGTGAAGAAGGCCCTGAATGAGGGGGGGGGTAATTAAGCTACTCAAGGACTTGATGGACTAAGTTCAGGAGCCCAGACTGAGACCCAGAGTGCTAATAGCAGGCCGTGCCTGTCTCTGCAGCCCCTCTTGTGCCCCCCCCCACTGGGAGCTGTTGGGATCAATACACCCCCTGCAGGGGGAGGCGGAGGGAGAGACAGTCCCACAAAGGCTTTATCTGATCATCTTCTCAGCCCTGCTCAGATGATTCTCAGTTAAGGTGAGACATTCTCCATTCCCCTAGGAGGGCAGATCATGCCCCAAAGCAGCCCAGCCCTCAAAATGCCTGTCTCGGGCCTAGTGTCATCCAGCCACGGAAGGCTTCAGCCTTCTGGGTTCCCCTCCGACCCACGGCCAGGCTCAGCCAATCTGATGTCCCTTACTTAGCCCAGGTGGCAGCCTGGCCCAAATTCCTCATCTTGTTCCCCCACCCCCCAATGCAGGGATTCCCAGGGCTGCTGGGGGGGCAGGGCTCGCTGCTCACTCCAGGAAGAGGAAGGAAATGGCTGCATAACAGCAGGTGTGGGGTAAGACTGGAGGCCACAGGGCTTTCCAGGAGTGGTGACTCCTGGTGCCCGCAGGCCACACACTACAATGCCGATGCTGCCAGGCCAGCCTTCGGGTCCTGTGCTCTGCCCACCCTGGAAGGAGAATGGCAGAGAGGCTGGGCCAGTGTTACCTGTCCAGTTAGGCCACCAGTCCTTTGAGACCCTGGGCGTCACATAGGCCTTCTCATGGCTCCTTTCTCAGGAATGGCTCTAGTTGCTGGAAGTCTTGGATGTCAAGAAGCCTGGAGGCCTGTGTCTGTCTGGAAGCCTGGAGGCCTAGGTCTGTAGGTCTGTGTCTGATTCTCACACAGCAGCGCCTGCATTGCATCCCCCCCGCCCCCCCCACTGCCGGCCCTGAGCACCAAGGGATAGAGGTGAAGCTTCAGCACGGCAAAGCACCGGGCACTGGTTCTGGTGGCCTGAGCCAGGGAGCACCAAAGCCTCCTTCTCTTGGGCCCCTAGGGAGAGGCACCCTGCTGCCTGGCCGCGCAGCTCTGCACGCTGCTCTTCAGCAAGGCCTTCTTTGACCCACAGGGCCGCTCAGGACCCAGGTGACTGTCTCGGCCACAGCTGTGACTCATGGTGCCCTCTCTCCGCTGCATGCCATGGGCAGCTATGAACACCCTGCCCTTTGTGGCCATCTTCACCCATGAACAGGTGACACAGAGGCCTGGCCTCGGCCTGGACTCCCCAAGAGCCTATCCTATGGCTTTGTTTTTTTTTTTTTTTTTTGGGTCATGGGGCTTGAACTCAGGGCCTGGGCGCTGTCCCTGAGATCTTCACCTCAAGGTTAGCGCTCTACCACTTGAGCCACAGGGCCACTTGTAGTTTTCTGGAGGTTAATTGGAGATAAGAGTCTCATGGACTTTGCTGCCTGGACTGGCTTGAACCCTGATCCTCCTATTTCAGCCTCCTGAGTAGCTAGATTACAGGCATGAGCCGTGGCACCTGGCTGGCTTTGTTTTTTGAGATGGAGGTCTCATTGTTGCCCAGGCTCAGGGGATCCTCCCACTCAGTCCTCCAAGAGACTACAGGCACATGGCCACCTGCGGCTCTGAGCCCTGGGTGTGAAGGAGAGCTCAACCCTCCCTTAGCCATTCAATCTATGTCAAGCCTTTCTGAGCTAGCCAGCAGGGGAGATCCCTCCCATGATTTATCTTGCAGGCTGATGACTGGCTATTTGGAGGGGGTGCCTTCTGCCCCTCTGTGTAACTGGAGTAACTAGTCTTCATTTCCCAGCCCTGTCTACCTTGGCTGAGCACTGAGGTTCCAAAACCATTATGGGAAGCTGTGGGCCTGGCCTCCCATGGAAGGTAACGGTGGTCTAGTGCACCTGCGTGGGCAGCTGCCACGTCACAGGGCCTGGGCTTCAGCTCCCAGATCTCTCTCTGGGTCGCAGGCTGGTGGCCATCTCATCACGAGGTACTTCCTGTCCCAGCTTAAGCAGCAGCCTGGGCCCAAGGCCTCCTCGCTCCTCCTCGCGCAGCAGTGCTTACTGTGGGGCAGGGCTGGGATGGGGGCAGCGGGTGTCACTGGGCCTCGCACACTTTAGTGTACAACAAACCCCAGAGGAGAAGCCAAGCAGGTCATCAAACTGCTCTTCTGTGGTAACTTCCTGTGTGACTTTTTAATTTTTTTGTAAGTCGTGGGGCCTGAACTCTGGCCCTGGGCGCTGTCCCTCAGCTCTTCAGCTCAAGGCGAGCGCGCTACCACTTGAGCCATGGCACCACTTCCAGCCTTTTCTGTTTATGTGGTGCTGAGGAATCAAACCCAGGGCCTCATGCATGCGAGGCAAGCGCTCTACCAGAGCCACCTTCCCAGCCGCCTGCCCCCGCCGTGACATTTTTAAGTCGTGCTCATGTTTAGAACTTCTGTGACCTAGGTAAGATATAAAACCCAGATAGACCAGGCTGACAGGACCGGGGGAGAACCGTAGTTGAAAGCAGGCTGCAAGTTGGGAGAACATGGCTCACACCAGTAATCCTAGCTATCTGGGAGGCTGAGATTGTGAGGATAGGGGTCAGAGGCCAATCCTGGCAGCAAAGTCTACAAGACCCTTTTGTCAATAGGGTTGGACATGATACATGCTCTTGTTAGCTATCTAATAAGCAATTTTCAGCCATGTGCACCTTGGCAGGAAGCCTCAAAAATAACAAGCAAAACTCAGGGTTTAACAGTAATATCACATGCTTAGGAAGAGCAAGGCCTTGAGTTCAAACCCCAGTACTGCCAAGCATGCGCACGCACATGTGCACACACAAGTACACACACAGAGCCTGGAGCACAGGGAAGAGGCTTCTAGCCATATGGGAAAATGGCACAGCTTTGGCTGTGTAGCAGTCATGGAGGAAGGGTCCCCAAGTACCAGTCCTGAGCCCCCAGACCCCACTTAGGAACAGATGATCCCATGGGGTGTACCTTGGCCAGCCTCGCCCGCTTGATCAAGTCGTTGAGCTTCCTCAGAGCAGCATTTCGGGGGAGCGACTGGATGTCTTTGAAGAGGTCCTGCTCTTCAGCCTCAAAGAGTTTCCGGTTGTCAGGGATGAGCAGTGGGTGGGACCAGAAGGAGCCGATGTAGACCCGGACCACCTCGGGGGTGTTGATGATCTTCCCCAGGGACCACATGAGGGCCCCATACACCCGCATCAGCTGCTGGGTCTCAATCTGGTCAGCCTTGTTCAGCACCACACGGATCTTGTCCTCGTGGTTCTTGAGGGCCTTAATGACCTCTGAGAACTCATCTGAGATGTCCAGCTTGTGGGCATCGAACAGCAGGATGATGCGGTCCACGCGCTCAGCGAACCACTCGAGAACAGCCGCAAAGTCATAACCTGGGGCGAGAGAGGGAGGAGTTCAGGGCATCGCGGTGCAGCCTGCTCTAGCGGCTCTTATTTCTGACTCAGTCTGGAATCTCTGTGCCTGAAGTTGCAAGGTAAATTTCTAGAATGTTCTTCCCTGGACAGCACAGTCACTGGAGGGAAGGATCATCAGGTCTCTCCAATTTCCACACCACCTGGAGCACCTTGGCCCTGTTGCATGGGGTATGCCTGGTCATACATGCAAAGCAAGACCTGACAACAGTCAGGCACTGGTGGCTCATGCCTGTAATCCTAGATACCTCAGGAGGCTGAAATCTAAGGATCAAACCCAGCCCAGGAAGAAAACTATGGGACTCTTAGCTAAAAGTGGCTCAAATGGTAGAGTACCAGCCTTGAGAAAAAAAAAAGCTAAGGCGCTCAGGCCCATGTGCTTTGGACAGCAGAAGCAATAAACAACAGCACTTGTAACTGCAGGCGGCCTTGGTGTGGCCAATGCTTACAGTGAGGCTCCCTTGCAAGTCTCAATCATTTTCTATGACGGGGTTGGTGAGCCATCAGCAGCAGGGTTCAGCTGAGGCTCCACAGAAACACGAACAAAGGTCTGCAAAGCTGACAGAGAAGGGTGTGCTGGCCTCTGTTCTGCAAGCAGGCACAGTCGGCCACAAACCACTCACTTCCCCTTCATAGTAATACATGCTTTTCTAAATGACAGTGGGTGAGATGGGCAGACTCCACCCAACCCTTGTTCTATGCTTTTTCTCCCCGCAAAAGGCCCACGCAAAGCCAACTAATGAAGTGACCTACGCCATCTGTGACACAGACTAATTGGAACTTCACCCATTGACAATAGGTTTAGCTGGATTCAGTTCTCAGACTCCCTTGCAACATAAATAAGAAAAAGTCATATGCAGAAAACTAAAAGTGGATCCCCACTTGTCACCATACACTGATATCAATTCAAAGTGGGTCTAAGACCTCAATGTGGAGCCAAAACTTTGAAACTATGCTAGAGAGGAGCAGGAGAGACATTAGAACTTATAGGTATAGGCAGAAACTTTTTTTTTTTTGGTCAGTCCTGGGGCTTGAACTCAGGGCCTGGGCACTGTCCCTGAACTTCTTTTGCTTAAAGCCAGCACTCTACCACTTGAGCCACAGCACCAATTCTGACTTTTTCTGTGTATGTGGTACTGAGGAATCGAACCCAGGGCTTCATGCATGCTAGGCAAGCACTCTACCAGGAAGCCACATTCCCAGCCCCAGAAACACCTATTGAAGAGTCCCAGGGGCACAACACATAGGAGAGAGACTTGACAAGTGGGACTACAACAAAATAAAAGTCTCTGCACAGCTGACATAGTTACTAAACTAGAAAGACAGCCAACCAACCAGAAACAGATCTTGCCAGCAACATATCAGACCAAGGCCTAATATCCAATATATACAAAGAGTTCAAGAAACTAAACCCTCCCAAAACGTAATAAACCAATCACTAAATGGGATAGGGAGCTAACGAGAGATCTCAGAATATGAGGTAAGATGCCGGGGGTGGGTGGCTCATGCCTGTAATCCTAGCCTCAGGAGGCTGAGATCTGAGGATCACAGTTCAAAGCCAGCCTGGGCAGGAGAGTCCATGAGAATCTTCAATAAACCATGAGAAACCGGAAGTGGCACTGCACTCAAGTGGTTTAGCGTTAGCCTTGAGCTGAAGAGTGCAGGGACAGTGCCCAGGCCCAGAGTTCAAGCCCCATGGCCAACAAAAAAGAGGTAAGAATGGCAAAGAAACACATGAGGAAATGTTCATCATCCCTGGCCATAAAGGAAATACAAGTCAAAACAACTCTTGAGACCCCAGTAAGATTTCCCAACATTGTGAATTTGAACAACAACAAATATTGGTGGGGATATGGGGAAAAAGGAACCCTACTGCCCTGCTGGTGGGATTGTAAACTAGTACAACCACTCTGGAAAGCAAGCTGCAAGGTTCCTCAAAACACTAAACATAGACCTTCCCTATGACCCAGCCATACCTCTCCTGGGCATCTACCCTGAGCATCACAAACCACGAAATGACAAGGACACCTGCACATCCATGTTCACTGCTGCACTATTCACAATAGCCAAGATATGGAAACAGCTCGGATGCCCCACAATAGGTAAGTAGATCCAAAAACTGTGGTACCTATTCACAATGGAATTTTACACAGCCATTAGAAAGAATAAAATAATGTCATTTGCAGGGAAATGGATGGAATCAGGTTAAATGAGGAAAACCAAGCTCAGAGAGACAAACAGTGAATGCTCTGATACACAGAAGTTAGATCTAAAATGCACTGGGATATGACAAATTATATAGGATTCTAAATACTCACATAACAATAAGACCAAAAGAGGATATTCTTAAGAGAGAATCACAAAAGCACAATGCCTAAGTGCCTCTTCATTTTTTGGTCAGTCGTGGGGCTTGAACTCTGGGCCTGGGCGGTGTCCCTCAGCTCTTCAGTTCAAGCAAGTGCTCTACCATTTGAGCTACATCGCCACTTCTGGTTTTCTGGTGGTTTACTGGAGATGAGAGTTTCATGGGCTTTCCTGCCCGGGCTGGCTTTGAACCTCGATCCTCAGATCTCAGCCTTCTGAGTAGCTAGGATTACAGGAGTGAGCCACCAGCACCAGGCTGCCTCTTCTTATTTGTATACAATAATATACATACTGAAACGAATTCCATGATCTGAAAACAAAAGACTGGGGCTGTGCTTGCCTTGCATGCATGAGGCCCTGGGTTCGACTCCTCAGCACCACATAAGCAGAAAAAGCCGGAAGTGGTGCTGTGGATCAAGTGGTAGAGCACTAACCTTGAGCTGAAGAGCTGAGGGACAGCGCCCAGGCCCAGAGTTTAGGCCCCATAACTGACGGGGAGGCAGAGGGGGGACCCAAAACCTTATTTTTCTTTCTTTTATTTCAGCTCTTAGTTTTTGGTGATGATTCTGTCTTCTTTACATGATATATGGTGTATTCATGTGTATATCTTTCAGGAAAGTAGGGAGAGAGCACAGAACTCAAGGGAAAAAGGATGAAAAGGTAAAGTAGTGGAGCTCACGGGACATTGATGAAAGTGAACTATACGACTTATGTGGGGAGATGGGAAGGAGGGACAGGGAGAGAATGAGGAAACACATGACACTGTGTAAAAGGAGATGTGCTCATTACCTGAACCTGTACATCACCTCTATAGTAATTTTTTTTAATAAAAAGGAAGCACACACACACACACAAAAGTGACTTTCTTCTTGAGGATTGGGATGCAGCTGCAATGGTAGGAGCTACAGTAACCACCTTATGTTCAAAGATGAAAGCTTCCTGTCAGAGATTGACTGGGACTGTTGTTTTCACATAAACTATCAGATATGTGATTTATTTATTTTTGTTGGTCGTGGGGCCTGAACTCTGGGCCTGGGAGCTGTCCCTCAGCTCTTCAGCTCAAGGCTAGTGCTCTACCATTTGAGCCACAGCACCACTTCCACTTCCACTTTTCTGGTGTTTTTTTTTTTTTTTTTGAGATCAGAGTCTCACGGACTTTCCTGCCTGGGCTGACTTTGAATGGGGATTCTCAGACCTCAGCCTCCTGAGTAGCTGGGATTACAGACATGAGCCACCGAGACCCCTCTCCCTTAGCTTTTTTGCCCAAGGCTAGTATTCTACTGCTTGAGCCACAGCTCCACTTCTGGCTTTTTTGGAGATAAGAGTCTCTACCACCAAGCTGGGTGCTAGTGACTCATGCCTGTAATCCTAGCTACTCAGGAGGCTGAGATCTGAGTATCGTGTTCAAAGCAAGTCGGGGCAGGAAAGACTGTGAGACTCTTATCTACAATAAACCACCAGAAAACCGGAAGTGGCGCTGTAGCTCAAGTGGTAGAGCACATGCCTTGAGCTGAAGAGCTCAGGGACAGCGCCCAGGCCCAGAGTTCAAGCCCCACGACCTACCAAAAAAAAAAAATCTCTACCACCAAGCTTTACCTGCTCTGGTAGGTTTCAAACTGCCATCTCAAATCTCAGCCTCCAGAGTAGCTAGGATTGTAGGCGTGAGCTACTGGTGCCCAGCCCTTCCTGACTTCTGAGCTGTGTGGTCTCCATCTACACTAACTCCTCTTCTTAGGAGGGACTGGCTTGAAATAGCCCTGGGGAGGGTGAAAATGGGGCTCTGGGGCCTGGAACTCCATGGCCAGTCAGGAATCCAGAAAAACAAAAATGCTCAGCCTGGCTATGAGGTCAGGGGTCAAAGGTTAGTTGTGGCTGACACAGTCACTAAACCGTATAGAAAACCCCATTCCCACTGCGTTGGTGACAGCACGCACAATGGCAGTGGTCTCATGGAGAAAAGGGTGCAGTCTCGAGCCTGTGCAGTCGCACCAGGGCTCTGGTGGGGACTGGTCAGAGGGCAGAGCTCCCAGCGTCAGAACACCTGGATCAGGTGCCAGGAAGGCCACCCAGCGTACAGCCACCCTCACAGCCTGCTGGTGCCACAGTACAAGGCCCTGGGGCATGCTGGGCCCCGCAGATGCTGGGAGAGCAGAGAGGCACCCGAGGGACTGAAAAGTCAGCAGAACACCGGAAGGGGAAGGCAGTGAGGGAAACAGAGCCACAAGGAGGCTCACTGCCCTGGGCCCCAGACTGCACTCCTGACCCCCAGCACCGGCCCCATGGCGGCCCCGGGAGCTCTAGGAATGCTGACTCAGGAACTAGGAGGCGCCTGGCTCAGCAAAGGGAGGCCCAGCTCCTCCCCTTCTCAAACTGTGAGGCCGCAGAAGGCCACAGTTGAAATTAATCTGCACAGCTGGAGATGAGCAAGGCCAGATCCCGGTTCCTGGGAACGGGGTGGGGGGGGCACCCCACAGGCTGTACTGGCCGTGTTGGCTTTGGACAAGCAGCTGGGACAGTGCCTGGGGAGCTGAGGTCACCCTCCGGCCCCACCCAGCCGCCTCAGTCTTTCCCCTCCAGTGTCAGGGGACCATGGGAAT